GTTTCCTCCTCCGTTGCTTAAACCGTTGTAGCCACCCACCGTCATCTTCCTCCTCTTCCGCAACCGTCGTCGATTCACGGCGATTCTCCGGACGCAGAGTCTCACCGGAAACAGAACGAACCTCCTCTGTACTCGATTCCCTTCCGATTTTCAAATTCTCCTCGGTGACTCGCCGATCTACCTCAACGAACTCCGGCGACTGCGCCGTTTGCTTGTCGAAATTCGAACCGGACGATCAGCTTCGTCTTCTACCTCTCTGTTGCCACGCGTTTCACGCCGATTGTATTGATATTTGGCTTGTATCGAACCAAACGTGTCCGCTTTGTCGTTCTCCTCTCTTCGCTTCTGATTCCGATCTCATGAAAGCTCTTCAAAACGGCGGAGGAGAAAACAGTTTCCGGCTCGAAATCGGATCTATCAGTCGTCGGAGGAACAATCCGATTACAGATTCCGGCGATCAGCAGCAGCAACACCGATCTTACTCAATCGGTTCGTTTGATTATATAGTCGACGATGTGGAATCTGAAATCTCAGAGTCTAATTTCAACCGCAAACGTGAAGACGCGATTACAGATACAACAACTGCGGTTGCGGTTACGAATCCGACGATTGAAGCGAGTTTAGCGGCGGAGATTGGTAACAACGAAGGCTCGAGAAGCTGGCTTAAAGATTACGTGGATAGATTGTCGCGTGGTATATCGTCGCGAGCAATGTCGTTTAGAAGCTCCGGGAGGTTTTTTACGGGGAGTAGTCGTCGGAGTGAAGAATTGACGGTGGTTGATTTAGAAGCGAATCAAGCTGGAGAAGAGATCAGTGAGCTTTTCCGGTGGCTCTCAGGTGTGTGAGACTCTGCCACATTTATTCATTCACTTCGTTATTCCAAAAGGAAAAAAATAAGCACAAAAACAGAGCCTCTCACTCTTTTGGTCTGTACATATATATATAAACAGTATCTCAAGACTTTTGGTTCCATTACGGATTTGTTTCTTTTGCCATTTTTCTGGTTATATAAAAGATGAATTCTCTAGTTATATATTTGATATAACAATGGTGTCTATTTTTTCTTTTCTTTTCCAGTTTGTGAATATTTGGGTTTCTATAATTCGTGTGTCAAAGTTTAAAAAGGAGAAAAAAACTGATTCCGAATAGTACCACCAGAATTTAAATTCGGAATATTGGTTACTGACTACAAATATAAGAAAATTGTGGAATAGTTAGGAACTGGTTTTGAAGCAAAATGAATTGGGCCGAAATAATTAGGCCCAAATTAAAAGAAGCAATGAGAAAGTCTCTTGAAGAAACGAACGAACGAGAGAGTG